ATTCTAATATAATGGAATGTAGGCTACCACAAGAAAAAATTGAAAAAAATCAAGCAAAATTGCATGAATTTTCAAGAAGAAAGAAAGTGACCCTAAGGCAGTTACAATCCTTAATTGGTCTCCTTAATTTTGATTGTACGGTGGTTTGTCCAGGTCGTACATTCTTGAGAAGACTTATTGACCTTACCTTAGGAGTCTCTCATCCTTGTCATTACATTAGACTCACTAAGGAGTCCAAAGCTGATATTGGTATTTGGAAATCATTTATTGATCATTTTAATGGGAAATCAGTTTTCTATGCTGATAAATGACTTTCTTCTGATAGTTTATCATTGTATACTGATGCAGCTGGTTCTTTAGGTATGCAGGTGTTATGGGATATAAGTGGTTTGCAATGGCTTGGCCAGGTCATCTGGAAAACCATCAAATAGCAACAAAAGAAATGTTTCCTATCGTGCTTGCACTTGAAATATGGGGTGAAAACATTCAGAACACTATAGTGTTGTTTTTGTCTGACAACATGGCAGTTGTTCAGATCATCAACAAACAAACATGCAAGGACAAAATCTTAATGAAACTTGTGCGTCGTTTGGTTGCTGTTGCCTTAACATACAACATTCTATTTAAAGCTAAACCCATTCCTGGTAAAACTAATGTTATAGCTGTTAGCCTTTCCCGTTTCAGAAAGCACTGATAGCAGCACCATGGTTAGAACAAAGTCCAATACTGGTTCCCCAACATTTGTTGGAGATTTGACTGATGAAGCCAAACATTTATTATGCTCAGCCTTGACTCCCTCTACAAAAGCTTCATACCAAAAAAACATGGCAAAAGTTAATTGAATTTCTTGGTCACCAAAAGATCTCTCTGCCACTGCAGCTAGCTCATGTTGCTAACTTTATTGGCCATTTGTTCAGCAAAGGTTTAAAACCTGCTACAAAAGCATCACATATATCTGCATTAAGTTATGTACATAAAATGTTAAATATTCAGGACTCAAAAGTGTTACTATTATTGTTCATTGGCCTCATGTGAACATACATTCAAGGCTTATGAAGCCTAATTACAGATATTGTCTGCTAAGTGATTCTGTTATACAGACTGTTGAGGCCAGGATTTGCCTGCTCATTAACAAATAGTTACTTTTATAGTGTTATGTGTAGTACTTTTATAGTATATCTGAAGTACTTTTAGAGTTATATGTGTCAATTATATTGACTGAATCTTTAATATTTCATAACTCAAGACACACCTTGGATGGCGTGGGCTCATTCAGCTTTAAGTAAAACGTGTATTTCGCTTTGGCCTTTTTTGTACGCCACCTTTTTTGTAGGCTGGCTTTTTATCAGGGGAGTTAAATCAGGGGCATTTGTTGGAGATTTGACTGATGAAGCCAAACATTTATTATGCTCAGCCTTGACTCCCTCTACAAAAGCTTCATACCAAAAAACATGGCAAAAGTTAATTGAATTTCTTGGTCACCAAAAGATCTCTCTGCCACTGCAGCTAGCTCATGTTGCTAACTTTATTGGCCATTTGTTCAGCAAAGGTTTAAAACCTGCTACAAAAGCATCACATATATCTGCATTAAGTTATGTACATAAAATGTTAAATATTCAGGACCCTACAGCTTTATTCATTATTCGCAAAGCTTTGAAAGGTTGTGAAAATCTAACCCCATCTGCAGACGCAAGACTACCAATCACAAAAGCAATCCTTGACAAGATGATCATAAACTTGCCGTCAGTAGTTAGACTCCATGTTCATCAGCTCCTATTAAAAACTATCTTCTTGATAGCATTTAATGGGTTTTTTAGGCTAGGAGAGCTTGTCGAAAGAACAAAACAGTCTACAGGGAGAGTACTTCAACGTCAAGATATTTTGTTTACTTGGGAAAAGGGCATATTAAAAGGTGTTGAATTAACACTTAGATTTTTTTTAAATAACAAGACAGTAACAATTTTCTTGTCAGCATTGCCAAGCTCCCCTAGAATTTGTCCTGTTAATACACTATATGCTTTTGTGAACACGTTTAAGCATAATAGGGGACCTTTATTTCAACATACCAATGGACAATATGTATTTGCACACTTTGTGACTGAACAGATGAAAAAGTTAATTACTTTTATAGGTCTGAATCCTACTCAATACAAGGGACATAGCTTTCGTATAGGTGCAGCAACTCATGCTGCCAGCCTAGGCTATTCTGAGCAATTAATTCAAAATCTGGGTCGTTGGAATTCAAATGCACTGCAGAGATATATAAGAATTGAATCTATTCGCATGTAATATGTTGATGTTCAGTGGGAAAACACTAACTCATATTATAAGGTGATGTCAGGATGTGCCTGGTCACCATTCTGATTGTTTTTCATAATTAGTCATTATTTGATTAAATCATTAAAGGTATGAACATTGTTAGAAACTGGTATTGACTTTGAGGTCAGGATTTGCCTGCTCAAAATTCTACATGACTTTATATATATGTTGTAAATTTTTATACATCCATTATATTTTGCCAAAACAAGAAATAAGGTATTAAAAGACCTGTGAGTTATCAATATTTTATCATGTTCATATATTGATATGTTATATTTTATATATGTATTTCTAATCTGATACTACTGATGTTTTTTGTTTTGCAAACATTTTCTAGTTTATGGTTTTGAAATTAAAAGCTCATTGAATGGCTGGCGGCTCAAAAGTGTTACTATTATTGTTCATTGGCCTCATGTGAACATACATTCAAGGCTTATGAAGCCTAATTACAGATATTGTCTGCTAAGTGATTCTGTTATACAGACTGTTGAGGCCAGGATTTGCCTGCTCATTAACAAATAGTTACTTTTATAGTGTTATGTGTAGTACTTTTATAGTATATCTGAAGTACTTTTAGAGTTATATGTGTCAATTATATTGACTGAATCTTTAATATTTCATAACTCAAGACACACCTTGGATGGCGTGGGCTCATTCAGCTTTAAGTAAAACGTGTATTTCGCTTTGGCCTTTTTTGTACGCCACCTTTTTTGTAGGCTGGCTTTTTATCAGGGGAGTTAAATCAGGGGCATTTAAATGTAACCCTTTGTAAGATTATCTCCCCTGTTGTAAACAATTTTGATCGTCGTTTTTAATAAATGACATTTTGATTGGAATCTTTCTCCTTGTTACTAATTCGCCTCCAAAAAATCGAGCAAGGTGTGTCCTGACATAAGTGTTCATGCACTCAGATATTAAGTCATAGAGTGGTTTCTGTATTCGGTATCCTCAGCTTTGATATACATCTATTACGCTGATCACATTAGACATAAAATCTAATTTATATTATAAATTCATTTATGTCTATGTGGACAACTTCTATTTGAATTAAACAGTCAATTTGAACTGAGTGTAAATGGCATAATTATTTAATCTGTATTTTAACCAACCAATCAGATAACAGATATATTCTGAGGTAAATATTTTATCTGCGATAGAAAGATCGCAAATTTTCTCTGGACAATTTTTGATCCCACCCCCTACCCCAATAACTTGCCACCTTGTACATTTAAATATGATGTGAGTTTTGTGATTTTAATTTTCATGATTTTTGCCATTATGTTGTTAATGGCTTTTTATGATATGCTACTTTTTGTAAGTGGCCTTTTTATGATACGCCACCTTTTTGTAAGTGGCCTTTTATTGATACGCCACCTTTTGTAAGTGGTCTTTTTGTACGCCACCTTTTTTGTAGGCTGGCTTTTTATCAGGGGAGTTAAATCAGGGGCATTTAAATGTTACCCTTTGTAAGATTATCTCGCCTGTTGTTGTAAATAATTTTGATCGTCGTTTTTAATAAATGACATTTTGATTGGAATCTTTCTCCTTGTTACTAATTCGCCTCCAAAAAACCGAGCAAGGTGTGTCCTGACATAAGTGTTCATGCACTCAGATATTAAGTCATAGAGTGGTTTCTGTATTCGGTATCCTCAGCTTTGATATACATCTATTACGCTGATCACATTAGACATAAAGGAAATTATGATAGGAAACGCAAGCTCTGGCATATTGTATTAACTGGCTATGAGATAAAAACTTCATTTTCAAGCGCTGTTTGAATGTTACTACATAGAAATGGAAAGTTCACAACTGAAAAACAAAAATTATCTATTTTTTTAGTAAAGTTTTGTTCTCAATTAAACTACATAACAATTTTATTTCGCTTTTGATTTTTCTAACAACTAATATATGCTAACTTAATCACGCACGACGACCTAGAAAAAATAAATATATACGAACAAGATGTAATTACATCTCAAATAAAACAAATTTCATCAATTCAGCACAACAAATGGACTTTGTCACTGTTTAGTTTACATATGTATTAGTATGTCATTTCATATTTTCTTTTTTTTTTCTTTCTTTCTTTATAAAATAATTAATTACCAACATCTACGAAGGCCAACATCGGAACGTTATAAAAGACAATACAGTACACAATAAATATATCACGTGTACGTTTAAAATCCGAAAAACAACACCAAAATAAGTAAAAAATTAATACTAAATATGAAATAATCAAAATTAAATACAACGGGGACGGTATTGCTCACAGTTACAGCGATGGTCATTCATACGTTTGCAAAATTACTGTTTTGACTCGCCAGCTTACAGTCTATCAAAATGAGTGAAGTTGAACGTCTGGGCATCTCGTCAGACATCGTTTGTTCCAACAATCCTTGCAAGAGCCTACTGACATAGATCCTGGTTTTGAAGATAAATAAGCTCCCACTTGAAAGCCTATAAGGCTTATGGGTATATTCATGTAGTCTAGGGAAATTACCCTAGATAACCCAAAGTAAGTAACTAAAATTGAGGATAACGAACTACATTGTTCACACTAGCTTCAGGTCACAAAGTCATTCTGATTAATTGAAACTGGTTGTGTGAGAAGCCGCACACACACATCAACACATCATTCATTTAGTATTTTAGATTTGTGGTGAAGAAAAAACAATCAATTAACATAGTAACTTTATTATATATAAAAATAAAAACATTTGTGTCAAATAAATAATAAAATCGTAACAAACAAATTCAACATTCTCTCGTTAGAACCATGAGTTATGTTTAGTGCCAGGTGTAATCTTTGTTTTGTAACAGTATTGACAAATTATGGTTGAACGGACCGTAAAACTGAGATAAAAGTTTATGTGTCTTATTGTACATTGGCTCAAATGAAATCCCCCTGCTTTGTCTTGTGTTGGAAGGATTCTGATGCAACATCCGCTTCATAACATCCTCTGACACCGTTTCTAAAATACAAATCATAATGCATTTTAACAGAACGTGTTTTTATGGAGTGACAAGTTATCAAATAAGAAGAACATCTTAAAAAAATGGTATGCAATTTTATACAGCTTAACGCTTTTCTCACAGAGTCCCGCAAATTTGTATTAATAGAACAGGAGAGAAAACTTTCGACCCCACAGCTTTGTGTATGCCGTTGATAGTCAGATTTTGCAGAATCCTTGAAAAGTCTATTCTCTTCCCGTTGTCCGGCTTCGATTTTATTCAGATCTGCGGGTGGTAACATCTTTATAGCATGGTGATATTTGATGTGGACCGTCAACTTTCTATGGTGTCTAAATATTCGACGATAGATTGTTCTTAAACTTCTGTGAAAGACTTTTGGGTCAATGTACTTTCAAATTTCAATATTAAAACTGGGAGTCACAGACCTTGCTTTTTAGTTAAAAAAACATTGAAATTAACGAAATCAGTTTTTCATATGGGTTATACAGGGGAAACTTAATTTTTTTTTATTGGGGAGTCATTAAACGATAGAATTAGTTCAAAACCAGTGAGAGAATTGCTTTTCATAAATACAACCGAAATATTTTAAATAAGAATAGGGGGTCAAAAAAAAAGACCACAAATTTTCCTTTTAAATTCAATATAATTATCTGCCCTTGACTTAAAAGGATTTTTTCTGAAAATTAAATTTTAAATGACACTTAATTTTTTGATAGTTTAATCTATAACTTTCAAGTTTAAGATGTTTCTGTTGTATATGGAATGCTGCATTTGTACTAGTAAAAAAATTTAGACCAAATAAGTATTTTGGCAAAATGCCCAAAAGGGATCAGAAAATTACACTCGATCTACCTTAACGCAAAACAAATTAATATCATCACTGATGTGCACGCATGATTAATGTTTTGATTTTAATTTATTTTGCCTTTGCATGTACATTCATATACAAATGATCTGAGATTGCGGGATAAAAAATATATATGTATCAGTCTGATACTCACCCATATCTAAGAAATGGAAAATATCTTCAAGAACTTTCTTTGTATTTGATGCATAATCTTCCATCCGAACAAAATGCATTTGATCACGAGGAAAAACTTTCAGCCACTCTTCAATGAAGATGAAATAAGCACCAATTCGCAATCTTATCTGAAATTAAGTATATCAATATTGATTGACTGTTGTTTGTTGCTTCCTTGACGTCCAAGGTTGAAGCAATAAGAGGTGTTTATACCCTAAAACGCATACTAGGTATGATCCGAAAAACAATAGTAAAGCCCATAAAAACCTGAGAGGAAGCAATACATTATTTAGAAGATTGATTGATTGTTGGTTGCCTAATATATTTCATGCATTTTCAGGACGATCGCCTTCAAATGAAGTATTGTAAACATTAACATGTGTAATAATTATGAAGTATTAAGTATTGCAGCCCGTGTTTTATTGTTGTTGTTTTTAATATGTGTATGTCCTTTTATTTTGTGAAACGATTCCCGCAGGGGATCGTAGAGCTTATAAATAGTATAATCTCCAATAAAATACTGGATACATAAACCTTTCGAATCAGATAGAAAAAATAATTTATATGTATATGAACATCCCCCTTTTTCTGTCACTTTAATGGATGACTTATGAAATGAACACGTATTTGGTCAGTTTAAAGCAAAAAGAATGAACGTGACTTAGCACAATTGGCATGGGGCGCAGAAACTCGCTTCTAGCTTAAAAATGAGCACGTGTCATGTCAATGTAGTGGCCTTTCAATAAATTAAATCTTATAAAATGTCCATTAAATTTATGTTTAGTGTCAAAATATTAAATTGATATAGCATTTCAAACATATGATAAATATGAATTAAAAGTAGAAAATATTAATAATACAGCTGATTTGAGCTTCAAAATGGTTACTGGTTTTCAAAGTTTGTTTTCACTTTATGTTTGTTTCGTGTTATTATAAAAATATCAAAACACACACAACTTGTACACATAAAATCAGTTTAATGAATTATTGCAGCCCGTGGTTTATTTTAGTTTTTATACTCCCGGCGTATTGTGGTATACCGTTGTCCGTCCATCCGTCCGTCGTCAACTTGTCGGTCAATAATTCAAAAATGCTTTCACTAATTTTTATGAAACTTTGGCGAATGGTTTATATCTATTGACGTAAGCCACCCTTCGATTTTTATAAATTTAAGAATTTACGTTTCTAAGTAATGGGATTTTATTCATATTTTGGACAATAACTCAAAAACGCTTTGAGTAGTTTACATATAAAACCATTCATTGAACTGATTTTATATGTTCAAACTTTGGTGACTTGTTTATACCTATTGCAATAAGCTCCCTTTAGTTTTTCATAAATTTCTGACATGACATTGCTGAGTTCTGGAATTTATTCGTTGAAAAATCGTCGAAAACTGTCCATTTTTCACATTTTGGACGGTTAGAGAATTTTTTTCGTTCAAAAATCGAGGCCACAAAATTAGCTAAACTTGAGATTGCTTTAATAGTGCCAAATTATTCATGGTGACGGGCCTATTATGCGCTCATGGCGCAGCTCTTCGTCTTAACATGGTTAAATGACCCTTTTTCGGTCATTTTAATGGTTGACTTATGAAATGAACGCGTATTTGGTCAGTTTTAAGCGAAAAGAATGAAACGCTATGAAATTTTGTTACAGGACCACGTGGCAAATGTTTTAGCCAATAGTAAAGCAGTGATTGTACAAAATGAGGACATACCGTAAGTAGTGAATATTCTTACATGATTTTCTGTGTTCATTTAGTGTTTATTTCGACGTGTTAAAATATCAAAACACACACGAGCTGTACATATAAAATCAGTTTTCTTCCATTCCTTTTAATAGGTACTTAATTGTAGACGTTTTTCGTTTTTTGAACTCGTCATGGAACGAAAGGTGGTCGTTCTTATAACGTATTGAACCCTCTTACCGCACAAAGGATACATATGTCCAGTTTAGCATACACCGATAAGCACATTAATTTCTATCGTTAGACCACAACACCGAAAATTTCCAAACAAGCTACACACATATTGTAACAAAATCGAATTCAACTTATCACCTATGAATTCAACGCCTATATTTTGGTGCAGTTCGTAATGCTCAATCTTTTTCTTTCTGTGTAGTGTTTTGTGAACTGTTGATTTTCTTTTCGTTTTTATTTTTTTTTGGGGGGCAAAAATGTATGTTGGTTCATACATGCGGCCAGTAGCTTAAAAAATAAAACCTATCAAAATTTGGACAACAATTTAGTCAACATCTAGAGTTTCATCATAAGAGTGCACGATTATGGTGACATCGTTACTGATTAAATACATCTGATCTTCCCAGTAAGGCATAGATCACTCACCTGCTGATAAATCACCCATCAGATACATGCACAATCAGCTATCGATACGACACCTTAGATAGTAAATTTGATTTGCCTACCTTTGTACAGAAGCTTAAGTTTTCAGAGACAATTTGGAATATGGGATTGCTAATAATAAACTTTAATCTCATTAAATTTTTTTTGTCAGTATTAGTTTGAATAAATATTTTCAAACGGTAAGTATTTTTCACTGGCTTTGTATTATTAATTTAGTTTAGATATTGTGTAAATGAAAGACAGAAATATAAATTTGTTCTATTACTAGACAAATATATAATGCCTCCCCTGAGTGCCTCCCCTGCCATTTGCTTGGATGATGGTCTGGATGTGGTACAGAATGTGCAAAGTAAGAAGATAAAAATATAATACTGGGGTGCTTAAATATTTAGGTGTGTGATCTAGAGCCATCTCGATCTTGTTGGTTTTTATATTTGTCAAATATTTTTACATATTTTTTCATCAAATTATAATTAAAATTCCTAAACTTATAAACATGAAATTGTATAATGGCCCTTCTTGCTTCGCGCCTATTAATCTTTTTAAATAAAAATTAAGTAAATGAAAAATCTTTATCATTTTAAATAGTTAAATTGTTGAACGTAACAATTACCATAAGCAAGGCGATTTTTTTATTTTCCAAGTAAAAATATACAAGAGTTATTCCTCTTCATACTGATTAAACTGTGCTATACATAAACATGATACGTAAAATCAACTTGCCAAAATAAATCAATTGACTCTCCCATAATTCATATATATATATATATACATACCTTCGATTTTCTGGCTAAATTGAAGTCCTGGAAACACTCTCGTGGTGATTTGAATTTCAAACAGGATTTGTAAAGCTTAACTACATGTTTAACTTTTTTATGGAAGTCATGTGCTGTGTTTGCACCATTTATGAACAAATAGTCGGAATATAATCTACAAAAATAAGCATATAAAACAAGTTGTATACAATGGGTATCAATTTTTTTCTTCAAAACACAACAGTTTAATTCTGAGCATTCTGCTCGTTAGCATTGATCTAATGTGTTACAGCGACACTTGTACGAGATTCTAAGACCCAAAAAGTCTCGACGAAAATTTGGTATGTGAATCGTTAAATGTACAAAATAGACACATCTGCATGACACCTCTTCTCTTTTCTGTCCAACAATTCAACAATTATTTAGTGTCGGCATACAAATAAAGATAGGAATAATACAGATAGAAGCACATTTCATTTATTTGAATAAAATTACTAATGATTTTTTGGTTATTGGGTTGCTGTCTCATTGGTATATTACGTACATCTCCCGGCTTTAATTAACAAAACCAAAATAGTGATAGTTTTAATAGGGAACAAAAACAAATTTATGAACTGAATGTGACCAATATAGCTGCAGTCCTTTTGCACAAATTGCTACCTTTGAGAGACTAGTATGTCATTTGCGTCAAATCTTATTTTTCAAAGGTATTAATTGCGCCAGAATTCGGAAGTCATTTGCGCCAATCTATCTGTATGAATGATTCCCAATTAACTTATGTTCAACTATAACATATATATTAATTCCGTAACAAAATATGACAACTTGAATACAATAAACTATGGAATAAACAGGACTTTTATCGCCATAAGAAGAGTGGGGAAATATTTTCTTCTTTGGCCATGGCGTTTATTTTCGACTTGTGAGTTTGAAGACCCTTTGGTATCTTTCGCCTCTCTTTTAAATTGTGCAATGCTAAGGCAGCTATCGGAAGTAGACATAATCCAGAAAAAGTTTTATCGGGGTTTCAAAAAGCTTTATATATCAGCTTTCAAGCAAGTCAAACTATAGGTTCTAAAAATGTGTGGATACTCATTATTTTAATAAAAAAAAGATTTTATATACGAATAAGCGCAAAACTATATGTATAAATTGCTTACCTTTGAACTGGATCTCTCATCATAATAATCAGTTTCATGCATGGATTTAACTGATGCACAAAATCCTGTGTGTAATATTCTGGGCCCACAGAAAAACTATTAATGTAAGAATAAACATCGTTGTCCCAAATTGTAGATGGACTAAAGTCAGCTGAAAAAGAACATCATAATCATTGAATCTCGTCATAATTCACTTCTGGTTTGGATTTCCTCTCAATAAATCTAGGACTTAAGTTAAAGGTTTTTATTCTTATATATATTATCTTCTCAAACTTTGACCTAAACGTAAGTGTTTTTATAACACGTCAAACTGTTTTGACGTTAAAGAAATAAGAACCTTATGGTTTTTCAGAATGTGGTCTTTCTATGTTTTACCTTTTTTTCCATTCTCGTTTTGCCCTTTCTCGTATATTTGTCATCATACGCTTCTTCCTGATTTTTTAGTTTGAAAACACTTCTCGCACGTTCCCGAAATCAGATCTCACATATTAAACATAATGGTAATGATAGGCTCTCAGAAATACATTCCTATAATATAGCTTGTTTGCGAAACATTGCATATTAGTACTTGGAGAATAACGTCATAAAGGGTCATGCGATAAGAAAAGATCTAACACTTGTGTTTGTTTTTGTTTGAAAATTGTGCACACAGTTTTGATATGCACTTTCTATGTCTGAAATAACAATGTTTATATTGGTTATTTTAAGTAAAGACCTAAAATTTCACATTTCAAAACTTCTCCGAATGAATGAAAAGATATGATTTTGTCATTTATTCTAGACATTCTTTCAATACACAATCGATCGCAAAGAAAAAAATATAGGGTTCCATTAATCCATGTAGTTTTTAGTGACAAGGAAAAACTTCTTATCTAATCGTAGAAATTTGCGCTCAAAACAACGCAGACATCTGCACTCTTCACATTTGCGCTTTGAAGTTTTGTTCCCCCTTTAGAAATCTTTTCAAAATCAAAGAACCTTTTGTGTTATGTATCTGTATCTGTATACACAAAACTATGGTTAACCTGTTATTTAAGTGTTTGGTATTCACTGAGACTATTACACCAAAACAGTGTGTGTATAGTGTTAGAAACTATAGTAAGGGGGAAACAGTGTATCTGCTATCAGACAGTGAAATCATGAGTGTGTCGTGAAGGTGTACAAACAAGAAATGCAAAAATCAAAGAAAAAATGAAACAAGAACAACTACCATTCAAAGCCAAAAAAATATCGTAACTATGCACACAGTGGCAGTAAAGTTGTGCTATATCACATAGAGTAAATACAAATGCCAAAGAAAGGATTATGAGGATCTACTTCAAGTAAAATTGAGAATGGAAATGGGGAATGTGTCAAAGAGACAACAACCCGACCAAAGAACAGAAAACAGCCCAAGGCCACCAATGGGTCTTCAAAGACCACCTAAGATAATATGAAGCGGAATGAACTGGATAAAAAAAAACTCTGAGCATTTACAGAGTCAGACAAATTTTCTTCATGAAAACTGATAGAAGCGAAAATGTCTTGTAATTTGATCATGAATAGCACATTTTCATTTTCTAAATTTCCAGAAATGTCATTTGAGTTAAAACACAAACGTCTTTGGGTGTCCTAATCATATTCTTGTATTATATCAATCAATCAAATCCCGATTACTTGACAAATGTGTCCATTATACTTCCCTTATGAACTTTTGATAGTCAAGCAGCAGCAGAACCGACTGACTGATAGTTTATACTGATTTCCGTGTGAATGACACACGTTTCTGAATTAGTTGCATCGTGTACGCTCAATAGCAATATTTTGGGAAGCAGTAGATACAATCTACGTTCAAATACAAAACGTACCATGCAACATACTGTAACAATTGTTTATCTATATCAACACAAACCTACCTGATATTGCATGAGAGTGGCCATCAGAAGTCTCGAGTGTGGCAGCTAACTCATCAAACATTTGTGTGTAGAGATGAAGGCCAAAAGGCTTGTCTGGTGAATATTTTTCTATAGAAGTATGAAAAATGATAAATCAAGTATATTCTGGAATACATATTACAATACACTGAATTAACGATTATATTAGTATTTTTTAGTATGTGAAAGTTATACAGTTGTAAAATGATAAGGGGTTTTACTGTAACCTCTAATTTTATATTACTTTCTTCATGTAACGTTGTCATTCAACAGATCGAATGGAAAAGGGGTTTAGTTCTCAAAAACCTTGTTTCACTCCGCAACATTTCCATGTGTTATGTTCCGAGTCTGAAACCACGTATGTCCTCCATTATTTAAAGAAGTTAGAAGTGTTGATGGTAGACAATTGACAGTCTGATGACTTTGAGTATTTTCTATCGTTGGTTTTCGGTCTTATTAATGATGTTTACTTCATATCTCCATTTATAGTTTATACATAATATGTACATTTCTTTAAGAGGTTTTCCCACTTAGCCACAAAAATGTAATGTAATTTATATAACTAACGGTTGTAGTTTGCTACTGTGTATCATACTTATTTTCGTTCATTATTTTGTACATAAATCAGGCCGTTGGTTTTCTCCTTTGAATTGTTTTACATTTTGTCATGACGGGGTCTTATATAACTTGCTATGCAATTTGAGTTTTGCTCATTGTTGAAGGTCGTACGGGAATCTGTAGATGCTAACATCTACGTCATTTGGTCTCTGGTTGATCCTTTTCTCATTGGCAATTATATCAAAAATCCTCATTTTATATAGTGTGTTATAAGAAATTAGTCACTTTATTTGTCCTTTTAAACAATTATGGGGAGATTACGCACACGGCTCCGTACTAAATGAAATAATTTATTTGGTACTTGTGAATCAAACCATTTAGAATAAGGCCATGCCAATAATTTACAGGATAAACTTATGAAAGGACTTTCCTTATACACATTAAACTATCCATTCATGTTATGTCATACATAGTTCACAGTTCAAACAATTATTCCTTACACCTATCGATTTCCTAAATTATAGAATTATCAATCAAATAATGATCTGTTGATTTTATTATCATTTAGTGTGTGGTCGCTTCAAGTGTCAATAACTTGCACAAATAAAAAAAGAAATTTTCCGTTTGACAATTGCAAGTTCGTCGTATTTTTTATTGGCTATCATTTATTTAATAATTTGATGGATCCGCCTCGATGGTCTAGTGATAGCGTGGTCGAGCCCAGGAGCCCGTGGATTCCATTCCCGGTCGGATCCAATCAAGGACTAAAATATTATTTCTGCAGCTTCTCCGCTAAACACATGGCATTAAGGTGTAAGCGCAAAGACTGGTCGACCAGGTATTAGAACAATGTGTTCGGTAGGGTGACATGTTTTACTGTAGTCTGCTATATTGTGCACTAGCTCGCTAACAATACGGCTCAGCGTGTTGTTCTAATACAAAACAGGGTCCATACTCATATCACATTCACAAGTTTTAGTCCTGATACAATGAAATATTTTTCACTGGACACTGAACACCAGTCCATTTGTTATTTATAAACCTGATTTGAGTGTAAGTGATTTTAAGTGTAATCCATAATAGGCATATAAAATGAAAACAACACCTACTTTATGCTTATAGTGGATTACACTAAAAAAATCAGGTTTATTTTTAGTCTTAGATAAATTATTTTTTTATTAGTTGTTATTGGCTTTGAACTTGCTGTCAGTAACTGAAAGTACTCTCAGATCTGTACTAGTGTCTTTTTTGTTGTAGGGATGTATAAATACCAGGCATGGGGCGAATTACATTGCAATGTAATGCATTATATTACAATTACTTTGACCAAACCATGCATTATATTACAATTACAATTACATGCATTTATCAAAGTAATGCATTATATTACAATTACTTTTGCAAAGTAATGCCTTGAATTACACATTACATTTGAAAATTTTATTAAGTGAATAGAAAAATTGAACATTTTGAAAAACAACTAGAAGTCACAAAAGATTCTAGCATATGCAGAAACTGTTCCATGAATTGAATATAAGTATACATTTAAAAAGTCTATTTAATTCGACTTTTACAATTTTAATTATTTTAACTTAATGTTAACTTAACTTTTATAAATATACTTTTTGTTGTTTTTTTTTTTTTTTTTATTTTAAACGAAATATTTAATTACTGTGAATTACTCCCCTAATTATAAAATAAACATAGACCTTAATTAATGAACAATTGTTTAGATGGTGAAAATATTGATTGTAAAACAAACTAATTAGTGTTTTATAACAAAGTTTAATTATCTTTTATTTAAGCAAGACAAGATATTCTTTGATCTTATGACAACAATACAGTTATGCTTTTCAAATATCAATCTCTTTATGCAGGAAAATGTATGAAATAAGATGAAACAAAGAATGTATTCTAATGATTAACATATTCTTAGTTAATCAAGAAATCTTAAATTTGGTTTAGTTAAAACTCCAACAACATGTTAAAGATGTAGTATGTGAAAAGAGTAATGACATGTAATGCATGAAATTACACAACTTTTTGCTAAAGTAATGCATTATATTACAATTACATGTAATGCACAAATTGCTGCATTACACATTACATGCAATTACTTGGAAAAATGTAACGCATTACCATGCATTACAATTACAAATTTGCATTACCCCATGCCTGATAAATACCCTGCCACGTTCGGTCTGTGTTTTTGTTACTTGTTTTTTCTGATTGTATCGATCTGATGAGTTAGGCTCTTTTCAACTCATTTCTATAGTTTGTTCATATGTTGTATGTCACAACACTTACACATGTTAGGGGGAGGGGCACCCGCTAACATGTTTAACCCCGCCACATTCTGTATGTGTCTGTCTCAAGTCAGGAGCCTGTAATTCAGAGGTTGTCGTTTGTTGTTGTATATCATATTTGTATTTCGATCAGTGTTTTTTAAATAAATCAGGCCGTTTGTTTTTTCGTTTGAATTGTTTTACATTTGTCATTTCGGGGCCTTTTATAGCTGACTATGCTGTATGGGTTTTTCTTATTGTTGAAGGCCGTACGGTGACCTATAGTTGTTAACTTCAATGTCATTTGGTGTCTGGTGGAGAGTTGTTTCATTACCAATTATACCACATCTTCTTATTCTTATATTATAAATAACAAATAGATTGGTGTTCAGTGTTTGAAGCGCTTTTCTGGATTTACCTCCATCAGGAATGTTCAAAGCCGAATATTTGAAAGCCAAAGACGTTTAAGAACCGAGACAGTTAAAAGACTATATGACGAAAAAGGATCGACCTAAAAAAAATAAACTGCATGTTAAACGTTTCATACCACTCCTAACAACCAGTTACATGCATGCATGCTTATAATATTATATTATATATATACTCATATTGTATTATGGCGCAGACTTCATCAGTATGATTTACTTGTGTCTCATTCATTTTGCTTAGATTAAGCAAATAAAATAGATTTATACTAAACCAGTGAAGTTTTGGGTGGGGACAATTTTTATCTAAAAAATGAAAATCTAGCGTTTTGGTACGTTTGCTTTAGGTGATGATGATTCTCAAAATGAAGATTACTTTTTTTTTCCAATTTTGAGTAAATAGGTTTTTTGAGGGGTTATTTTAAATTACTTGTTAAATCCATAATATATATATGACCATCTTTTTTTAGCAGAGCTTTCAATTATATACATATTTTTGTAATTAATATAATTTTCATATGTCAAATCAATGTTATTACGATATATTAAGTTTTTGGTTGCATGTGTTTTGATATAAGTATAAAAGTTTACAATGTTTTACTAGTCAATTGTTGATGAGGATATTTGTTTTATTTGTACTTTTTATTTGTCAATCAACCCGATGCGATTCTTCCAACATCAACAGTATAGTTTAATGATACAATACCTAATCGGAGTGTTGAATTTCGACGAAAAAGAGGCATAAATCGATATCTTGATAACCAATGAAGTTCCTTCATTTTAGATGGTATAAATTCTGGATGATGTTTCATTCGTTCGAATAAATCTGTTGTTCCACATTTTGGAAAGCCTATTACCAAAAAATAAGGCAGACAACGTAATGATCCCTCTCTCTGATAACAAGGACTCTTGTACTGACTAGTCCATAAATTCTGTGATTTCTGAGATTAAAAATAACAAAAAGTATGAACGATGCAGTAATGGTAGTCTAGATGCAAACCTTTGTGTTTATCTGAACAATCATTGAAAATTTACAACTTCAAACTTAAACAAATTCTCTAAGCTTCTCTTCGGTATTCCAATTAAATGGCAAAAATATATTATCCTTTCTTTTGAAAATTTAAACAAAAACACTTTTGATTATAAATATTATCAATGTTTCAGAATAAAAAAGAAACATATATATTCAATTATTCAAATATAGATATCCCTTATGATAATTGATAATGTCATTTCATGACACTAATAGAATTGTGTAGTCATGTACGTTTGATGTATTTAGTAATAGTACGTTTATTTGTCTGTTTGGTCTAAATACTTAGTAACACTCAACAATAATACCCATACTTAGATTAGGTGCATTGATACGAGTATGTCACAAATCATTCAGTATCTATACATTGTAGGTCTTGTGGATATAATTTTGTTTTCAGACATAGACATTATATACAAATTTGACTAATTGATGTACTAACAATACATGTATAGTACATCTCCACTTTAGAAATTAATTTATATTTAGAAAGAGATCAGAGGCTTTGTAAGAAAAGTAATCTTAATATTAGTTGTCCAAAAGAGAGAGATATTTTTTAAAGAGATAAGCAATATTTGCAATAACTTTTCAGATCTCTCAAATGAGGGTTATTTACTAATGAAAATGTGTCTATCAGAAAGTATTAGGGAATTGTATTATTAAATGTCTAACGTGACGGTACCCAAATTGCACCTATTTTGGAAGTTTTTTCACCTACGTTTATTTGTGATCCAGACAAGTTTCCATTCTGTGTTTATGTTGTAGATGTATCCTTTTTTTCTATATAGTCACATCAGTTTAATTTTAAATCCATATTGAATCTTAGAAAAATTGATTTGAACCGACATCCAAACGATCCATGGTTCTGTAACGAGGAGTACCCAAATTGCTTGCATGCTTAAATTCACATCCTTAAAAATCGAATAATGTTTTGTTTTATTTCTTCAAATATTTAGAACAATTTGACATTAGTCCATGCTTAGTATTCATTTTTTAAGAAATGGATGCTTGTAACATATTTTGTTTACTCATTTTTAAAAGATGACTTTTTGTGGATGTCGCATGGCGACGTTTCCGTAGATTTTACTTTGATATATACTGTGAAGGTTTTGTGTATATTTAAATATATTTACCTATGTTGAAAGAGGTGTATACTGTCAAATCATTAAAATACAAATTGTTTAGTCTCAAAGAAAACTTGTAAGATTTCCTCTGCTATTTTTGCTGAATAGGTGCAATTTGGTTACTGTGACGTTAGATGTTAGACGAAATGTAAAATGATATCCTTAATAACGACGATTATTGTTACGATTTTATGGTTCTGGTTTTGCCTGGAATAAAATGTACATGATTTATATTAGATGAAGAAATGTAGGTTTGTAACTAAATGAACATTTAATATTTCATTTCAATATAAAACAAAATATTTTACACACTTATAGTGTATTGTCTTGTGTGTATAAATGTCATGCTGCCCATAATAGAAACAATAAATATTCTTATTCTAATAGAAATATTATTCATATAATATATGATACAATTCATGTTTATATTTTCTGTCACAATTATATTTGAAGAAAGAAAGGGAGGAAGCTATATTTGTCGATATACTGTCAAAAAGTTCAGTTTTAGTGTCAAATCTACTTTTATTTGGTGAGAATTTTATTGTTTCTTAACTTTGATACTAATTGAATTCGTCAAGTATAATTGTCCTTAGGCTGTATGTATTGTCAAATGTGATGTTGACATATGTATATATATATATAGTATTCTTTCTTATTCTTTTTGGTAACTTTTACATAAAATTAACATTTGCCATGTCAAGCATTGTTCTTTACTGTTATTTAACTTACTATATATATTGATTCATAATTGATACATCCATTGGCAAATATATATTGAATAATTTCAGAAATCAGCAATAGTTCCCGTTACTAAGAGAATACTATACCACAAGTCATAATACATATTAATGTACAAGTCAAAAATGGATTGGCACCGAAATAATTACCAAATCTAATTGTGCCTGCAAATATAGCGTTATTAATAAGTCAAATACCGAATTATACAAATCATTTTTTTTTCTTTTAGAGGACCATCGGTGTAGAATTCACTATCCTGTGAAATTAAAAATCCAAAACTTTACAATATGCATTCAAATAGGTCATTATTATATCTTTAACATAGTGTTATCAGTATATATGCCCATAGAACGCCAAAACTGTCTTAGGTAGTGGATATCTGTAATATTATTTAGTTTTTCTGTTCTTTATATTATGTATTTTATCATATTATAGTATATTATATTATATTAAGTGGTTTCTTTGTTATATTAATATGTAGTTTCACATCCAATCTTTTATGATAATATTCAATACAAAGCACAAACATGTCGGCATTCACCTCAAAAGCTAACCAAACCTTCAAACAGACTTATTAAGAAGGGATATAGTTACGATATTGTTGTCAGGTCAGTTAAAGATGGCATATTTTGGTATTAATATTGATTCACTCATAGGGTCTTTGCATCGGAAATAAACACATTTATTCTAAAACCAGTTGTTGGCATGATACAGGTTATGTTCTTCTCATATATTTAATGATGGTATGATACTAAACCCCTAACGAGAGGGAGTGTGCTTAATTTTATTTAATGAAGACATAATCTTTCAATTAGTTTAATTGAGGTCTGGAGCTGGCATGTCTGACATCGGCCTCGGACTTCTTTTAAACTGAGTTTTACTGTGCGTATTGCTGTGTTAAAGACCCATTGGTGGCCTACGGCTGTTTTCTGCTCTTTGGTCGGGTTGTTGTCTTTTTGACACATTCCCCATTTCCATTCTCAATTTTATCTTTATTATATTATGTAGTAACTTCATTATTTCTGCAACGACGCAGTGACGTTATTACATATGTGGGTAACTTTTAATGTTTTGTGGTTTCTTTATAAGGTTATACGTGCTTACGTTATTATAGTATCTGCTGTTTTTCTTTGTTTACTGCACACGGCGTCCGTTTAGCTATGCGGAATGTATATACGCAGCCACGTCCGGGCGGAAAAGGTACGTAAAATGTCTTTTGTAAAGATAGTGCCATGCTCTCTGCACGTTTAAGAACCCGTGCAGCTATCTAGGAGGATCGGACAAGATTTCTGTCCCTATCCAACATATATGTATCCTAACTTTCCAGAGACAGTCCAAATTTCCAGCCTTTCATCCCAGTCGACACTACATCGCAAAACCTACCTATTATATTTATTGATGATTAACTCTTGTCCTGAACATTCATGAAATATTTGCCACTGGACGTACAGCAAATGGCACGTAATCAATATTTCAATCAATCATCTGAGCACGACCATAAAACTTAATCATAAATGTTGGTTTAAATAGTGTACGCCATGAAAAAATTTCAAAGTAACTTAATTTTAACCATGTGATGATTTACTAATGTAAATTGTAATCAGATCTTTGAACATTGTTTTCATCGGTACTAACATTGATTTTATTATCAATAAATTAATACTCAACTAAATATGAATTGTTATACAGTTTTAAAGGCATTCGGTTCTAGATACTGTTGATATTTATATTTTGAAACTGCAATAGGACATGTTTTCCTAGACTGTTGATTACGCTTTTACACTTAATCAGTTGGATGTGTACTGATTGATATTTAGTCTTAGATACATAGTTTTTTATTAGTTGTTATTGGCTTTAAACAAGCTGCCAGTAAGTGCGAGTATGTTCAGGTCTTTTGTATTTTTAAGTGTTTGTGTGCTTTGTATCGATCTTTTTCAATGGATTTTTATACTTTCTTCTTCTGTTGTGCTGTTTAGTTCTAAACATGTTTTGGATTGTGTTTAATATCTAAACACATTTCTAAATAAGCACATTAAATGTACACATGTCTTGAGTATAAACACTTTCAAATGTTTTTGTTTTTATAGAATTAAGTGTTTAGGAATAAAACACTAATTTCTAGCTAAACACGATCCTCAACACAACCCTCAACATGTTTAGAACTGAGACATGTTTAGACCTAAACGTGTAAAAAGGGTGCACAAAAGATGTCTTGATAATTGTGTTTAGGATCTAAACACCATTATTAAAGCGTAGTTTTTAGAAATATGATAACATGAACCTCCCCTCCCACCTGTAGTAATAACCGCGACGAGAGGTTATCCGTTTGGCTGAGCAAAATGTATAAATGCGCAGACAGTTCCTGTATTTGAGACGTTTGCAAACGATATCCCTAGAAGGGATAGTGCCATCCTCTCTCCATATAATAGAGTTTTTTAAATAACTCTATGAAGGATCAGCTGGTTACCTGTTCCAAGGCAAAAAACTACCTGAGTAAGTGTTTGATTTGTTTTTGTCTGGAAATATGTATAACATTTGCCACTGGACGTTTAGCAAACAACAGTTAAGTATAATCAAAAATCAAAACAAAAAGAATAATAAAGAGACGTGGTACCATTGTCAATGAGACAACTTTCAACAAGAAACCAAAGGGTGAGAGTGTAAACAACTAAAGGTCACCGACCTTTGACAATATATGTCATTACCTCATCCTTATTAAAACAGTAATATGACATTTAGAAATAAAAACAATGTCATTAAGAAACTTTTCTCTCGGAACAATACATTTTGTCAGAATTGATTTATGTATAAAACGTTTACAATTTTATGCGTATTTGAAAAAATTGAGATCTTTCTAGAAAGAAATTATGACTGGTAAAACTGCCGACATAATCCAAAATCATTAAGAGGATTTTTATAAAATCTTTTTAAATTTCGTGATGAAGAATGTAAGTTTGAACCAGCTACTAGACATACTTTCAGAGAAATACTCTTTAAAGAGAAATATCGAAGTGTTGATACACTTCCTGTTCTTACCGACGACCTTC